CTCGAAATTTTTTCCACATTGATATTTCTTCTTTTCTGTGAGGCCTGAAGTCACCTAAAGGGCTAATGAAATTATCAAAATGCCTGCCATTTGTTATAAGATTGCTAAGAAATCTATTCAGAATCGTCAATTTTGAAAACTGGGCATCGCACCCTTGACAAATCCAGATTCAAATTTGTCAAATTTATATCAGAACACCCTTTACATAGCAATGAATTAGAATAGTTGCATGTTAGAGCCTATAAAATAGACAGCATGTAGGAATACACCTTCTAAGGTTGTTGGTAAAATAAACTAGAGGAATCAAACGAGTTACAGATCAATGATGCAATTGTTAGTATAAGCTCAGCACAAATGATTCACAAACCTGTTCAATAAGTTCACGAGCTCTTGTGATAATATTAGCTCCAGTATGGCACACAACTCCTGCCATTTCCATGGAATGCCATCTAGCGCCTCGACGCATCACATATCCGTAGAAGGAATTGAGAATACACTTATGAGCTAGTTGAAGACTGTCGTAGAGCACTAAAAGAGAACTGGCCTGCTTCACGTCTGCTGGATCCCCGGTTCCAGCCTTTGCTGCACTAACAGCCTCATCCAATTTGCGCTTCCAGACTTTCGTCAGGCCCTTGAATTTGTATCGTCGATCACGAAATGCTCGCACAGTATCGACATAAAAGGAATTTTCGCGTTGGCATACCTAGAATAACAAGAAATATCAGTGAATTTCAATTTTGTGATATATGAAAAACTAAAAATTACTAATTGAAAAACAAATCTAGACTTAGAATAAGCCAGCCAGTGGATTTGGTGAATGAGGCCTTACGGATCAGTTAAAAGTCTAATTAAAGCAGAATAAGGGAAACAAATAGATAATGCGATTAATAAAATGAGCTACAACTCACCCTCAAAGAAATCGACCGTCACTTAATTACTTAAATAAGCGATAAAAGGATAAATAAACTAAAGAACGCAACAAAAATTAAATTATAATAAAATCGAAAAAAAACAATTTACCATTGCTGTTCTCTCCTCTGTTCGAGTGATATGAATTCTCTTATAAGCTCGACGGCAGAAATCACCAAGACGTTTCTTTTCAACGGCGATTTGCTCCTCCTTGGGAAGCTTATGGAAGGGTACAGGAAAGGGTTCACCTTTCAGAGGGAACTTTTCCTGTTGTAATTGAGCCTGAACTCGGTATACTTCAGCCCTAGAAGCTGTCCATAGTTCTCCTCTCCATTGCCATGTCATGAATCGTTGGCAATTTGCGCCGGGTTTGTAGAAATGACAACCTGAGCAATGTTTATCGGCATCCGCCGTAACTGCTGACGGTTGAAGTCGGTTAGTGAGAATAATATTGGGGTACATAGCACCAACATCTAAATGGACAATAAGAGGACACTCCACGCGTGAAGGCATCTCCGACAAATCCTCTAATGTGGCCTCAACTTGACTGCACACTTCATCGAAACTCTTGGAATCAACTAGACTCTCAACCAAGCTGGAATCTTTTGCATTTAATTCGAGAGAAATTGTTTCAGTCAGACACCTTCTTACGTCATCTCTAAGGCGTTTGCAAGCAGCCGGAACCAGTCGAAAACGAACCGGAATATCGGCACGAAAAACACCTGCTTCAAGAGCTTCAACGTGACCACCGACATAAGTTTCTGAGTCAATTAGTTTATTATCATCAGTAAAGGAGTAACGTAGTCCAGATTCGCTAAATATGCCATCATTAAGAGTGTCAGAGGTTTTTTTATGAGGAAAAACGACATTCGCTTCATAAGCTCGAACCATCAAGAGTGCTTCGCATAGTGTTCCAGATCCTTTTCTTAGTACATCGTCCGGATTCAACGGCAAAATTGTGCACAAAGCGAAAACAAAGGGGTGAACGTATTTCATGTAGAGATAGTAAGTTGCTACAGCATCTGAAACTGAGTAATTAGCCAGAGTTCGGGGATCTTCCCTTGCCATTAAGCACATAACCTCCGGATCCATTTCAATGGGGTTATAGTTGAGTTTTGCCTTAGCAACGGCCTTCAGGCCATGGGCACCGACAGGTAGATAACTATCTCTTTTGACCCACCGGAAACAATCCATGTGGATAGCAGAGCGAGAAAGATAATCGCCAGAGTTACCATCTCTTCCAGGACTAGGTCCTCCTTTCATTCGAGAAAAACCGATTTCCTCCGCCATACTGATATTATAGACGGCTGCACGAGCCTCTACAAATGGCCAATCGAAATAGTCACCGTTGTAAGTAACCATAACAGTAGGCTTAACTTGAAGAATGTGATCGAAGAAATGGCGAATCACGGCCTCCTCGTTAGCAACATTGAAAACTTGAAAATGACCTGGAAATTCTGGTCTCGGAGTGAATTCAAAGTCTTCAATATCTTCAGCAATAATTTCTTGGTTGCAAATAAGGAAACCGGCACCATCGATCATGTAAGAGATCATCATGATTTGATCAATAGAAGAATCTGGAAATTTGAGAGGAAGCTTAGTCGTTTCAATATCATAAGCTAAGACAACCGGTTCTGGCCACGCTACAGTTTCCTCGCTACGTTGAAATTCAGGTAATTGACCAGGTCGACATTTAACTGTATACCAATGAGCTGCAAAAATACCCAAATCGATAGATACTCGCATCAAGTATGGAACATCATATTCTCGAAGATCTGTAAGATAGTCGTAGGCATCTTTGACTGTTCTCGATTTAGGCAGGGTACTTGTTGCTGCAGGATCACTAACGTCTTGAAAGTGTTCACCAAGCATATCAGTATAAGTTGATTTATCACTCTGAATTTCTTTGTTGCGCTTAACTCGACTGGCGATTTCCCTTCGAACTCGAACTAATTCATCAACAGAATTAAAAGAAAGCTTTAGATAGCGTGCCTTCAAACCAATCAAGTGGTTAGGCATATCAAGGTCCTCCTTCTCGACAACCTCAATCTTGACAATTCGACCAGAAAACTCTCGTGTCAGGAAAGTGGTTACTTCCGATTCAACATCACGATCTCCGTTAACAGAAATGAAGAAATATGGAAGATAAGGTCGAGAAACCTTGAAGCGTCCACCGTCGGACTGTATAAAATAGAAATCGACAGCACTGACAAGATTTTTATTTTCATCGAGAATATCTGTTGGGTGCATATTTATTAACCAACCAAAGCGTTCGCCAGGTCCAGTAAACTGTTCGAAACCATAGCGCCTATCCATAACATCGTTGGCTTTGGCACGATTATAACGATTTTGGTTGGACTCTGACAAAGCGCTTTCAACGTCCAAGGGCGCTTCATTTTCTGACTGAAAGTAATTTGGTTTCTTATCATTTTTACGATTGCCAAATTTTGAAAAGCCTCCCCGATTTCTTTTAAACATCTCTGCAGTATTGAAGCAGGAGGTTTAAGAGGGATCCTTTGGCTAACACGAGTCACATAATACCAACTTTGACCTACAAAACTTAGAAGTACTAGATTAAAATTCCCTTTAAAATTATTAATATTCTTTTTTGGTATAATTGTTGTTATTATTGTTTTGTTTGAAAGCGTTGTCAAATTTTACTTCAAATCATCATTTTAATAACAATTGTGCTCTAAGTTTATTTTAAACTATAAATAATTCAAATGCTCAAAATTAAATCCATCTCCCTGATCTAACGTCATGATTTAATTAAAAATAGTTAATATAGTTATTTTATTTACATAGATAATAAGAATAAAATAATCTTCTCTTGACAAAATATGCAACATTTTTCGAAAATACCAGCGGAATGTGACTATTAAACACGCTCTCCGTTTGCTTTATCACAGTCTTTTTCATTGAACGTGAAATAAAGGACAATAACGTATTCCCATATCATAGGGTAAGGCGACATATACAATGATGAAGCTAATTTACTACAGGGTTCGATTCAGACATATGAACAGAAAATCATATTTACTGGTTACCCTTCTGACTTGTTTGCATTATTTTCTAAGTTTCGCTTTTATTTGAATCTTGAGGCACTTACGACTATACGAATTCCATTGCACAGTTTTAGATGAATGAAAACGGACCTTCGGAATTATAAAATTTGTAGAGAAGATCATTCAGATATCCAGTCGCTTCGCTAAATCACAAAATAAGAGCAATATGTATAATAATTGTATATGTCAATAAGCGAGGACGTTATTTCTAATTGCAAATGCTTTGGTTCTGTTACCCATCTTGATTAGAGTGGTATTTGACCTTACTCACGTACGTCCTTGAACTTAATAACATTTGGAATTTTTAATAAATTCTATGAAATTGCAAACCATGCTTGGTTCAAATGTTCTAGTTTCAATATTTCATGCTGAGCTTCTTAGATAAGTTTGTATTCTTTCGAAGTAAATGACTATTTATTATATGAGCAAAGGGGGTTATTGTTTCAATAATATAAAAACATATTGGAAGAGGAAGCAAAGATTGGAAATTTTAGAGTAAAGAACACCATTTATGATGAAAGGCTATTTGATTTGAACATTTCATTTTATGCTTTTTATATTCAACTTTACTTTTGATTTGATATATTTAGGTGGTTTGCTTAACGCTGATCGTTTGATATCATAAGAACAAACCCTAATTTAGTCTTTATATGAACATATCAAAAGTAATCCTCTACTTTACATTTTAGTGGGCCTCTACTCACCAGGTATAATTAAAATAGTTGCTTTTAGCCTAACGATGAAAGGGATCTATACTTAGTGTTCATTCATAAGTACTATAAGCTAAATATACTAGCATTCTACGTTTATTCGACATGGGTCCGATTTATTTATATCATGAAAGCACAAAATATCAATTCCTTATTTTAAATAGCCAAATCGCCTATTTTCAGCGTATTCAGTCGAGGACAATAATAAAATTCTAGCACTATTAAGTTCATCCCTCAAGTGCTGAATTATCGAAATCTAGGCTTCCACACTCAGGCTTGTATATTTAAGACCACTAGTGATGAATTTATCTCTCCCATTGTTGGTCAATTAGGCAGCCAATCATTTATCTCACAAATACATATATTTTATCAATTTTTATCAATGCATGCTCTATTTACTCTTACCAGTGTCTGAGTAGTTGAAGCTCTATAACGTGGGCAACTTTTCTCTGATATATAGTTCGCTGTGTTATTGGTATTAGTAAAAAAATAAATATGAAATTTCAATTAATTTAAAACCTACAGAGAAGTGCTTATCTCTGCTAATTTGTACTGTAATTAAACGATACTTAGTATATGCTACTTGTTAACATCCCAATTACCTAGGTAGTCATATTTTGTCTGATATTAGTTGGTTACATAATATTACGTCATAACTAAGGAATGAGCTAATTATTTGTGGTCTATTAAAGTGCATTTTCTTCAGGAGATTTATCGTTTTTTTCCACTTTTAGGTTACCTTTTTAGATAATTTTTGTTTTCCGGGAACTGAAAGTCTAAAGTAATTTGTGTTAATAAATTAAGCCTGCATTAAACTTGCGGATACAAGTTTACTAGGATGCATTCAAAATTTCTTGTTTATTGTCTAGACCTTACATGAAATTTAAGCAATAATTGCCAGTTGTAATCTGATTTACACAGAGACGACTTAATTGAACTATGGTCATGCTATTTCATGTTTCTCCTTATGCTGACTAATGTCTGAATCATTTTGATATCTGAAATTCAAATTATTAACACAAAACAAAAAGTTTCTTCACAACAACAAGATACAATTTATAGTTAAGCCTCCATATATTGAGGTGTATCTTCTACTAAAATTTTTGTCTAAAATAGAATTTCTTGATATTTATACTTGTTTTTTTTACAAGAGAATGTAATATCGGTTGCACAACCTTAGAGTAAGTTAATGCTGCACGTGGTTTGAACACATGTCGTTTTATTTTTTATTTAAACCCACTTTGATCAAGCAAATTGATTTTTTGTATATTGAATTATTTTATGTGAAGTTTAATAAAATCTTTGAATCATCTTATCTGTTAATTCATAAGCGATAAAAAGGTCACATTTCGTGCTCTGACATATATCTCTTTGAAATATTACCTCTGCCAAAATTAGCCTTCGGGGACAAGTAATATGAAGACATGATTACTTACTGCTCTCATAACTCTGTTTTGTGAAAAGAATGGTTACCGCGAAAATAATCGATATTTCAAGTGATGGGCCATACTAGATGAAATCTTTGGACAATAATTATCTAGTCAATGAGCGGCTCATTTCATCTCTCTTATAACACTGGTGAATTTTGGAAATTTTCAATCATGAGTGAAATTTTGACGATTGTTACATATGCAACTTATGGGAACTGTTCTGCTCCTTAACTCATGGCTATATGACCAGTCATAGAACTGTATCAACCGAGATAAAAGGCTCAATATCTCTCTTTCATTCCTTATTTAATTTGTCTTTTGTTTCAATCGTAAAAGATTTCTTATTTCCATGGACAATAACAACAGTGACTAGTTTTTTAGGCTTTGCTTGGCATTTAAGGGATCAGGATTCGCGCGATAGTAAAATGTACATGACGCTATTATGCATTTCAAGTTCAAATGTTTTTATTAAAGACTGCATGAATAAGCGTCGATAACCGAACAATGGCATTAGTTGCTTAATTTCACTTTTGGCATGCCAACAAACGAGTCTGCGTCCCGATTCACTACTGGTTACGCTTCTCATTTTGACATTGTTCTCATGAATTTTATCTCCATAATTTTGTTTGAACTATCTCCATGAACTTCAATAAAACTCTCCATAATATTTGTTTTTTTAAAGAACAATAATTCCCAATTAGACGGATATATATAAATTGCATAAATTGAAATCTGCTTGCGATTAAGGAACAATAGAAGAGATTATTCTCTATTGTGTTGGAGTAGGCGAAAATGTTATCCTTTCACGATGTGGATACAAGCTGAGAGCGGCCTTCTACCTTCTATTTGAGTGAGGAATTAGTTTCTCATGAGGAGATAGACAAAATGAAGCAGCTATTTATAATTGGCATTTTCAATTTAAAAAATTCTTTTTGGAACCATGATAATTGACTTACACGACGAGAATGAATAGCTTAAAAAGCAAAATTTAAAACATGAGTGAACACGTTAAGCAATCTTGTAAAAGGCAAAATTGGTAAATTAGTTAACACAGTCACTATTGGTACCACATAATAGTTAACTGAGAGTATAATTTAAAGATATTAACTGTGTGCAAATTGGACTTATTGTTAAAATCACGTGTTAATTATGCAAAAAGACCTTGTCACTAAAATGCCACAAACGCACAAAGGTTTGACACATCACCTCATATTTTACATTATTAGTTGATCATTGAAACTAAGTAGCATGCAAAACACCCTTTAGCTAAAAAAACACTAGACCCCGGTCTCTATGTGGGTTGATCATAATTAGGTAATCGATTTTCGTCTGTAACTAACATTTGCGTAAAGTGAAATTGATGCATCTACCGCGTGAACTTTGACGATTTATGAAAAAATTCTATCTTTACTAAAAAATCACGTGAATTATGAGGGTTTATTATCAAAAATTACGAAATAGTTGAGTCTGTAATTTAGTTTGCCATTTCGTTCAGTAACATGGAGAAGTTTTGCCTGTCGTTCAACTATTTTTGTGATAAGAACAGTTGACTATCATCACCCAAACGATACTGTTAAAACATCAACAAGTTTATTTAACAAAATTCTTTTGTAATCCTAAATTTGACTCATCTCTTCCTAGCAATCGATAATTTTGTAAAGGGGTGTGAGATAGACTTACCTCCACGTGGTGCAACCTTGGCAACGTATACCCATACAGCAAAAATGTCTATTAACTGGCAGTTGACTTCTGACTTCAAACTACCATAGCCCGAATGCTTGTCATATTCGACCCCCTTCACAGTACTCATTTTACCTTTTTCTCTACCTTTGTGTCTGTCTGCCTCTTTTAAATCGGTGAATCGCTCTTCTGTTCCCCACCCCTCGACTCTCTTCTACTTTGATGAACCTTCCCTCTATGAAGCCCGAAGTCAGCTAAATGGCTAATGATAGCTATCAAAACGCCTAAAATTTGAAATAAACAAAAAATTTTGTAAAAGTGGATTCAGCTGCACTTCTTTGTTGAATACACTAGCCAATTCTTCAATCGCGTCTCCCAATGGACAGGCAGGCATCTATTCTACTACGTTTATACTGATGATTTGAATGAATTCTTTTGAATGAAAGGAAATTAAAAGGTGGATAATAAAGAATCTGACTCATTCCACGTGGGAGGGGAAAATCTTGATTGCTCTTTCCGTGTCGGTCTTTATGTGAAAATGATAAAAAAAATAATTATTTTGTTAAAATTTTATTTACATCAAATTGCAGGCGTTTTGATGGTTATCATTAGCCCTTTAGTTGACTTCAAGCTTCATAGAGGAGAGGAACATCAAAGTGGGAATAATTCGGGGGGGGGGGGGGGGAAAGAAGAGCGATTCCCAGATTTAAGAGACAGACGGACACAAAGGCAGAGAAAATGTGAGTTGAGTACTGTGGAAATGGTCGAACATGATACACAGATGGGTCATGGTGGTCAGAAGTCAACTGTCGGTTAATTGACTCTTTTGACGTATGAGCATTCGTTGCTCAGGGTGCACCACGTAAAGGTATGTCTATCGCCATGGTTAAAAATTTAACTTAGGACATAAATGGGAACTAATTTTTTTCTCCACTTCGGAAAAGGTTCACTTGGCACTTTCTGAATGATGGTCATCGATTTTTATCTAAAATTTAATCATTTTTCCATCATACGCTATATTTGATTTCACACCATATCAAGTGTTTTTTTTGGTATATTCACAAGTTGAAGAGCACAGTTGCCAGTAGGTTCCCATTGGTTAATCAGACCTTAACCATTTGCCTATAAATTTACTAAAAAAACTAATCATTGCTTCATAATTTTTCGATTACAATTAAAGAATGATAGAATATACGCCAGAACAAAAGAAAGAATTACTGCAGAAATTCCATTTAATGGATCTCGATCATAATGGTGAATTATCCAAATCGGAAATTGTACAGTGCCTCAAGGATTCAAACCTTCCAAAGGATAAATTGGATGTAAGTTTTGTTCACTTTAAAAATCAATTTAATTTGAAAATGTACGCAAACACAGACCTTGGCATCATGTGGATATGTTCATGCCCTATTATCAAAAATGAAACTATCACGGTGAATATAACGTTTTATTGTGGTAAAAAACTACTCTAGAGTACATTCCCGTTGAGAAAGTGGCATTAAATAATTCCTGTTTGCCTGTTTGGTTATTTCAAGGTCATGAGTAACGTTGGTCTAATGGAAGAATGACTTTATGAAATGCTTCTGGCTTCTCCTTATTTGAGAAAGCGGAATATCTGTTTCCGAGGTAGTAAGAGAAATGTAAAATGTAATATACTGTGGTTATAATTGGTTTTTAAAGTGTTTTTTTTTAAGAATTTAGAAAATGTCATGCTTATTTTGTGAATTGTTTCCACTTGGTACCCAGTCAAAATTGTCTCCATGGAATTTGATTAGCTGAAATATAGGAAGAAATGAAAGAAATGTTAAAGAAAATGAAAACTTACATCCAGATTCTAAAGTCGTAAACTGAATTTATGTACTGCCTTTGGTCAAACCCTTTGGTCTCACAAAAACTTTACGTAAAATCGATTTACTGCACTTTTATGCATAGTCAAGTATTTTTTTCAATGAGTAGTATACATTCTTGGCTTACATTCCTGATGTGCGTTTCATTATATATCGGCACTCCAACTTGATTGGTGGGTTGCAAGAAAAAAAGTTTCACAAGCGCGACCCACATTAATTCACAAACACATAAAAGTGAGATAAAGATCTGTACACGTTCCGTAGTCGAAGTTGCAAGCGCGGTGTAAAATGACTTTCACAAAGGAAGAAAGGAAGGAACTCCTCGCAAAATTTTTTAATATGGATACCGATGGAAGCGGCAGCTTAAGTAGAGAAGAAATTGAAAAGTGTTTAGTGGACTCTAACCTCCCGAAATCTCGCGTTGTCGTAAGTAAAAGTTTGCAATAAATGCTTAAATTTGTACTACTTCAGTTATCTGTATGACGATAGATTAAAGCACTGACCTGTTTCAATCTAACTCCAGTTAACTTCATATAAAGGAGAAATGTTTTCGCTTTAATGAATCAGCTGATTGCACATTGATTATTTTTTGCGCCATTGTAAATTCGAAGTTCATTGCTTTCTAATGCAATTATATGAAAATGGTTAATTCATAAATTTTAAGATTGAGATGTTATAGAATATTCATTTACGTTACAGGATTTCTTGATGATTATTTTCAGTTAGTAGTGAATTAAACGGGAAATGATGAATATTAGTTAACTTACTGTTTGTCATTACCACCTAAATACAGTACAGACTACTTGTGTTTTTCCAAAAGATGTAATTTGCTTATTTAAGTTACAAGATAACGAGATTTTGGTTACATATGCCAAATAACCTACTTTTATGAAATATTGTAATTGGTCAAAATCGTAAAAAAATCAAAGTGTCTTTTTGAGAGTTTTTAACCAAACTTGATACACATTAAAACGTGTTTCAGATTTTGAAATTGATATGGCTGCTATTTGTTAATTAATTGATAATGGTTATATTAAGCATTTTTGTTTTCCAGACTGCATTTAATAGATTTTGCCTTTCCTATTAAGCCACTATTTGAAAATCATATAAAAGACACTTTTAGGGGCATCCTCTTTTCGCTTAGCTTTATCAAAATTAAAGTCTACTGAATTAATATTGTGCAAACTATATAAACCTCTTTTTACCTTTCAAACCACCATGTTGATCATTTTCTAAATGCTATATTTTTTATCGCTCGTACATATTTATTATTTATATTTATTATTTCTTACAGGAATTTCTTAGTTTATTCGACTCGGACGGTGATGGAATAGTCACATTGGATGAATATGAGCGAGCACTCGGCCTAAAAGAAATCCCTACGACCACGTAAGTGATTATAACCAAATATAAAATCTTTAATTATTCAGGATGCAATAACATTTAGTTCTCCGTTATTAGAATCGATGAATGGAGAGATACCTTCTTGGAAATGGATACGGATAATTCTGGTACGCTAACAGTTCAAGAAATCCACATAGGTCTTCTAAAAATTGGTGTGAATATTCCAGAATGCGACATCGCGAAGTTTATTCGAAAAGTTGATGATAATGGAGATGGAGTATTGACTGTGGAAGAATTTACAGCCCTTATGCGTTTAAATGCTTAGATATATTTTATAAAATGACCCTGTCATAGAATATTTTCGTATGAGTAACTATTTTAAAACTAATGTACTTTTTGTAAAATTCGAATTGTTAATAAATCGCACGAAATGCTTTATTTGCAAAGTGATTGGTTACCTTGTCCTTATAGAGCTGCTAAAAATTTAGGAGAGATGGCAAAATTCGCGGCATTTGTTGACTAATTAATGTTCTGTTGGTTAAAATTTCCCAAACGGGTTTAGAAAAATAGTAAGTGGTAAAATTACCAAACCCCTCAATGAATATAGAAACTTTATACAGAAATACGTAGGTAATAATATAGTATATCTACTTAAACTATTTTATGGAAAACAGCTCCCTGATTATACTAAAAGCAATAATATTATTTGATGACATTTAATAATTCGATTATATTATAGCAATTTAAAGATATTTTCGCAAATAAAATTAGTATTTTCTACTAACCTTTGGAAATCATTTTTATAACATCGTTCACTGGTGGTTTATTCGCATCAATAAATACAGCGCAGATTTAGTTTACCCTCAACGAATCGTGTTTTCTGGCGCACTGAGTCTGGATTTTTAAAAGTTTAATTATCACTAATGATTCCTCGAGCCCTCCAAGGATTATATTTTTTATGCGAACCCATTGCAGATGGTACTTTCGGCAGATTATATCTTGCTATTCACATTCTTACGCGGCAACAAGTCGCAATTAAAGTCATTGATAAAAGAAAATTAACAGTTAGTTAAGCTTCGTCAAATGAATGTTACCTTTAGGGTGAACTTCATCGTGTGCGTTGTGAAATTGAGGCTCTCAAGCGTTTATCTCATCCTAATATTTACTCACTTTATCATGTTATTGAAACAGACGGCGCATTCTATCTTGTACTAGAGGTTTGTTCTGTTTTCGTTGTACTCTTGATGTTTGCTTTTAGTATGTTCCTGGAGGCGAACTTTTTGATTACATTTTGCACAACGGAAATTTGGAGGAGTCGCATGCACGCATTCTTTTTCGACAACTTGTTTCCGCAATCTGTTACTCACATTCCAAGGGAATAGCACATCGAGATCTCAAACCAGTATAGTGCCTTTTTAATATTATCCTCTACCTTTCAGGAAAATATCCTTCTTAAAGATGATTACTCTATTCGAGTCATTGATTTTGGTCTTTGTGCAAAGGTAGTGTTTTTGTTATTTTTAATTATCAATTCTTTAGAATGCCGATAGCAAATATTTAAACACCTTTTGTGGATCATTAGCTTACGCAGCACCAGAAGTTCTTCAAAATCATGAATACAGTGGCCCTGCTGTAATTTAATTGATGAATTTAGTGTTTATTTTTAGGCTGATATTTGGTCTATGGGAGTCATTCTCTACGCCATGCTTATGGGGTGCTTACCATTCGATCCGTCAAAACCGGAAAAGCTAACAAAGCTAATTGTGGTTAGTTCTAATTAACGTCATTAAAGGGAATGTTCTCTTAACCCCCAAAGATTTCTTAGTTCTTTTCTCGTCCTTTTAGAAGGGAAATTACTCTGTCGACGAAACGCTTAGTAAAAGCAGTCAAGATCTTTTGGCTCGCATGCTGTGCGTTGATCCACAATCACGAATTGGTATGGAGGAGCTCTGCAAGCACCCGTGGGTACTTGAAGAGGGGGAGAGCCCAATTTTATTCCCCTCCGATCCCACGAAAAAGAACCCACAATCTCTCTCCAACTTGAACCATGAAATTGTGCGAGAAATTGCAATGTATACACGAATTCCCCAAGTTGAGATGAATAGAATGCTGAGACGAGTGAGTTGAATTCAGTTATTTTTTTAAACGATTTATTAACGTTCATATTAGTAGGATTAAGTTTGAGTTAAATTAAATTACTCTGAGTTTGTTGTGTTTTTTAGAACCTTTATAAGGACTTGTTAAGAAATTTTTAACTCCAACGATCATAAAATGCCTTTGAATTTATTTTTATTTTGTGATAGTTTATAGTAATCTCAAAATAAGAGTTCATTTTTTGTTTCTAAAAATAAATAGTTATCATAACATAAACTTTATGGATGATAAAATCTATATTTTTTGCAACAAAATCCAGTCCAGAGGTCCTTTCTATTCTAGTCAGACTAAAAGCATTAATGAAAGTAAAGTATAATCGCATTTAGAATGCCCTATTCTAAATATTTCTACTTTACGGAGTTGAATGTGTCTACTGAGCCTATTTGGCCATCCAGTTATCGATTGTTGACAATAATACGGCAAATATTGATTTTTTCAAGGATAGATTAACTTCCACTTGATAGGTGTTTTATGCATCTTTCTGAGTTTGTCTGAAAGTTTAAATTGGTATCTTCTATTTATCTTTCAGTTATATGGTATTTGAAAACGTTCGGGATTAAGCAAGAGATTGTCTTTCTTATTCTTTTCTGCAAATTAATTCCCTTCGGATAATTTGGGATTTTTATTTCCTCGGTTCCAAAGATCCGGGGATTCGACTCACTTTGAACTTTTTGTCAAAGTAATTAAATCTCCCAGTGCTAAGGTTCATTCAAGTGGAAAGCACTGCAACTACAAAGTATTGATTAATTTGTCAGTTGCCTTATTGGCTATTATCAAGATTACTTTGAGTTCTTAAGCCATTTATCTTGTAATCTGTGTCATTTTACCGATGTTTAATTTAGTAGTATTTTTTTCCTGATTTTTCTAAATTCCATCATTTGGACTTACTTTGTATGTCTGTCTTGTGTGTATCAGAAATGACTTGTCTTGGTCAATGTCAATGATAGGTTATTTGCCGTTTTGGTTTCTTTTTCTCTCAGCTCTCCTGCTTTCTCCCATCTCTTTGCTTTGTTTGTTTAAAGCTTTTATTTATTTATTAATCGTTAGATGAGGGGAGGGGGGGGGGTATCCCTTTCATATTTTTTGTTCCGTTTTTACCACACTTGTTGTGATTAACATTAATATGCCACCATTAGTTTTATAGTCAAATGTTTCATGAAACCTCCGCATTTTCTATCCACGTAGATTTCGATTATTTTAATTAAAAGCATTGTGCTTAATCGAGATAAATAATTTCCAACTTATACATATTCAGTCATGCTCTTGAATGGTAAGATTCGATGTACTTACTCCTCCATCCAAGTCGAGGAAAATGTGGCTTTTCAAACCATTACTTAAAGAGGCTTGCATTAAACCCAGGCTTTCATAGTGTCACGGGTGTGCGAAGGAATAATCCTCATCATTCATTCATTCAAATCAAATGGCAGGCGTTGTGAAAGTTATCATTAGATCTTTGGTTGACTTCAGGCTTCACAGAGGAGGAGGAACATCAAAGTGAAACAAGTCGAGAGGGGAGGGGGAACAGAAGAGTGTTTCAAAGATGTAAAAGAGACAGACACAAAGGTAGAAAAAAGGTGAGGTGAGTACTATGGAAGTAGTCGAATATGACATATAGTGAGGTGATGGTAGCATGAAGTGAGAAGTCAACTGCCAGTTAATAGACTTTTTTGCCGTATGTGTATCCGTTGCCCAGGGTGCACCACGTGGAGGTAAGTCAATCGCACACCCTGTGTGATATATATATATATATATATATGAGATTTATTGCCTTTTGTTATCATTTCCACAAAGAAAGTAAAACAAATTTTTGTGTATTTTTTTCAATCCTGTCAGAGTAATTGTTGGAAGGTGCATTTTGCGTGAATTTTACATTTCATAAGAATTAAGTCTTTACTTATCGTGTGATCTTCGCCAGCGTTTGGAGAAAAAATTAAAAATTTGAACTTATTAAAAACAAAATTCGATGATTTACTAAAATACGTATTGATCATTTAGTCAGGAGTAGAGATCAAACCATACTGAATAATAATATTGTGGGGTGTGGGATAGACTTACCTCCACGTGATGCACCCTGGGAAACGTATACTCATACGGCAAAAAGGTCTTTTAACCACCAGTTGACTTCTCACCTCAAACTATCATCACCTTACTGTATATCATATTCGACTACCTTCACAGTACTCACCTCACCTTTTTTCTACCTTTGTGTCTGTCTCTTTTACACCTTTGAAACACTCTTCTGTTCCCCTCTCCTCACTCTCGAATTTTTTCACTTTGATGTTCCTCCCCTCTGTGAAGCCTGAAGTCAACTAAAGGGCTAATGATAACTATCAAAACCCCTGCCATTTGATATAAATAATAATATGTTAAAAGGAAGAAGTTGATGGGACAGAAAGTTCTCGTCGTGAATGTGAAATCGTGATCGTAAGACAGTGATCAAGTAGCCGACTTCAGGAATCGCCTTTCG